TACCTTTATCAGAGTCATATGATGAACCATATGATAAAGAACTACAAGGTTCATAATACTATTTTCAAATGTTTCAAGTTTTAAAGGATTGAAATTAACTGTTTAAATCGTCACAATAAAGGCCTTATGCCTATATCAGAGCCATACGATGAGTCATATGATAAAGAACTTCGAGGTTCAGAATATTATATTGGACAACATGAACTTAACTTATCAGCCATGACTACGCTAAAGTTTAAAACCCCAGTTAGGCAAATTACATCATCTATTTCAGAGAGGTGGGAATTTATGTTCCCTAATGATGTTACACCTTGTAAGGCCAATTTAAATATTTTGTTTGTTCGCCATGTAAGGCTTAGATATTTTTTTATTTATTATGTTTTTTTACGCAGCTTTCCTAGCTGTTCGTACAGCAATCGGAACAACATTCTTCCATGCTATGAGTACTGAATCGAATCTTTCATTTAGCACTACTCAAGGGCTAATTAAACCAGTTGCGTTAGATACGGTGTTAAATCATAGTACTAGGACTAGTTTTGAACATACGCATGTTTCTTTTAATCCCAAGTTATATGGTGAAGCTGCAATTGTAGATTGTGGCGGTGGTATATATGTATGGAGAGCAGAAAGACACAAATCTCGAGCAAAGTAAATTTCAGGATTATTCACGATACAATTACCGGTCAAAAGTAGTTAACAATATTTTCTCTTAATGTACTCTAGTAAAATCAACAAATATGAAATTGAAACAATTAGGGACCCTCAAGCTCACGAGGATGTATCGTCAAAGGACCTATGGAAAACGTGCGAATATAGTGCACACCCCCAATGTCTCTATGTTGCGTCGCGTGAAAGAATTGACCTTTTTGATTTTAGGGTAACTTATATGATTTATACTGACATTTATTGTGGTAGCTGATGCTGAAATTGGTTGATGCCAAAATTTCGACTATATTTATTATGAAATTTTACAAAATTTCTGGTTTTTCATAGTCTTTTTTATAGAGTAAAGATATAGATATATATTGATGTGGGTTTTAATGGGTATTCTATAAATAAAAAATTTTAGCAGTTAGTTTCAGCATAAGTTACCACGTTTACAATAAAGTTTCACTCAGGTTTTTTTCAATTTTATAGAATGCGTGTAACACACAACCACTCAATATGTTTAGTACTATTGAAGGAGATCAAATATATGCGTTTCAGCAGATGCCATACCCTAATCCATTTCAATCCATTTTAGTAACGGACAGTAAAGTTATACTTTTGGATCAACGCTTTCCCAAAAGGCCACTACTCTCATGGGTTCATTATAATACTGACCTACCTGTTGGACTGAATACATTAATAGACAAACAAAGTACGTATAATGTAGCTTACAAATATGTGTATTGTATTTATTATGACAACAGTCATTTATTCATCCTAAAAATCGCAGCATCAACTATCTTAACATGGTCAAAAAATCCACCAAAGATAATGGCATTTCAGATTCCAACCTCCAAATCAGGATTAGTAACTGCGACGGGCTATCCTAATTTGATTCCATCATTTCACACACATCCAACTTATTGTCGTTCGAAATATTTGAGGGTTCCCAATCCATCAAGACTATATAAGATAGCCGAAGAATTTATACAACCTCAAACACTACCACCATTAGCGAGTGTACTTTTGCTACGTAATAATATCAAAGCGGCTAAACCTAGAAGTTTTGGTTCATGTTTCAGTGTGATGCAGTTATCGCAAACAGGAGCCTTATATTCACAGATTTTTTATTCCCGGCTTCATACGTCTGTATATCCACAAGCAAAGATAAATTCAAAAAAAGAAGACATGCAAATTGTCGAAATGCCGAAAT